CATATCTCAGTTTCGGGCGATCGTCGAGGTCGACTCCCCAACATATTTATTTACTTTAAATAAAATATTTTTTGAATCAATTTCACTTTTTCTTCAACTTAAACAATTATATTATTTTTTCAAACAATATTCTTCTTTTATTCAAAAGATTCATTATGTTGCTTTTAACAATTTAAATAAATCTTAAAACAAGTTAAATAAAGTTAAATTGCACGTTACTGCATCTTTCTAATCAAATCTTTGAAGCATCTTAGGGCCATAGCATGTGGAAAAACTTAACTTTACTTTTATAAAAAAAACTGCTTCAAATGTTTCAATATCAAAATATCGAAGAGAAAAAGAGTCTAGCAATCATAAGTAATTTTATAAAATTTTAATTTATATGCGTTACAGAATGCCATTAATATATATGATATTAAAAATAAAAATAAAATTGTAGTAAAAACAGGCGCCGGTTTAATTTCAAAATTTCAAAAAAAATTGGATCTATGTATAATATAAAATAATTTTCTTTTCTAGAATACTATTTTGATTATTCTATTAATCCTATAAAATCACAATAGAGAATAATTGTTATCAATATTACTATCACTACATCTTTGTTCTAGGGTCTAAATTCATTTGATTTAAATTTGTTTTGTCTTTCGTTATATTGACGGACTTTTAAATTTGTTCTTTACTATACGTAGTTGACGTAATACGAATATATACGAGGCACAAAGGGTTAATTGCGTTCCGCGGCATTCAAAGGACATGAGCATCGCATAACCATCGAGTGCAACGAGCGGCTTCATACCGGGAATCCTAACGAACGAGTTACGTTTACTATGTAAATTGAATGCGACGGGCGTGTGAAAGTCTACGACACAGCAAAGATTAACTCAAGTTGAATAATGAGAAAAATAACACCACCATTCTTCTGATGCGTTTGAACGTGTCAATCTGAATTTTTCGTATGTCATCGATGTTACAATAAAGTTCTATAATTATAAAGTTTGCAAATACGAAGACGCTATAATATGGCATAATAATAGTAATCTATTTTATGAACTTGGTATATTTAATCTCATTGTTTATTGATGAATATTGCAATATTAATGCACAACAGAATATATTATGAAATCAAAATTAAATTGGATACAAATCATTATATCCTTTTTCACTATATTTGTTAACTTGTATATATGCATAATTAATTAATGTAAATATTATTAATTAATGTCATTTCATGTATTTAATGTCATTTCATGTATTTAAATTAAACTGGTATAGCACCAAAAATTTTAAAAACTATTGTTATTTATAACTTTACTTTAGAATTTAGGCTTCCTGCCTAATCTCGAATCATAAGTACGACAAAAAACATTTAAAAAAATAAGAATAACTTAATTTTGCTAATGATACATAAAAGGATTTTAATGAAAATATTGAGATATGTTAAACCAGATAACAGTTAGATTTTTTGGAATCTTTCCTAAATTTATGTAGAAAATTTCTTCGAGTAAAATCGGAAACCAAGGAGAAAATCGCGGAAACATTTTGCGAATATCTTTGCCGTAGTAAAAACACGTTGGCGGAAAGTGAACTGAAAAGAGCACTTGGCTTCCGCCGATAAACAGAAAGAGAAGTAGTTTTCAAATTCAAGTGGGTCGTTATAAAATAATGAGACGGGCGATAAAAGTGTACATGAAATAAAATCCGTGCTTCACTCAGCGTAATTCGTGTAGCAATGCATTCCGTATATTCTTATCCGATATCTTTTCATCTACATTGATAGTATTCAAAAGGTTCATATATACGCGACTAGTCTCGAAAACTCTAAACTTTTATATTGTATAAAACGCGTCGATTTAAACTATATGTTACGTATGATTAATCAAAACACAAGTAAAAAATATCTAAAATTTCTTAAAGCATATGTAGAAATATAAAGAAAAGTAGGATAAAACCGGGTACTTTTTTGGATTTGTCTTCCTACAAAAAACCTGAGAGTAAAAAAAATTTTGCCGACTGTTAGTAGTCTTTAGTAAACCTTAAAGTATGAAATAATAAGGCTAGTTGCTGGAAAAAAAATTTTGGTTATCGAGAAAAACAAGATTTTGTGGAGAAGTCAAAATACCCGGTTTTGTCCTACGGGAGGGTCAAACCGGATACCCATTTGAAAATATGCAAAACACCGTGTAATTACAAAATCTAGATTTATTTTAATCAAAATACAATATAAAGATGTATTCTATTGACAAAAATCACAAATAAAGTCCTCTTGGTCGACATTGCTGCAGGACTTCTTTATTTAACTTTTTAACTTTAGGGATTTCAAAAAGCTTTTTTTTTTAGTGGTTTCTTTTTTTGAGTGTTAGTTTTCGTTTCCAACTGCTTTTTGTAGGGAGACAAAGTCAGGATAACGGTTCTTCCTCTTTTCATTACATAAGATATGTAAGTATCCGATTTTGCCCCAACACAAGGAAAGTAACAAATACGGCGGTTATATATTCCGGCGTACAGATTTATTTCTCTATTGTAGTAAAATATATAATAAAATATAAATTAAAAAGAAACTACTGTACACTAGTTATATATAATTCTATATTCCAATATTGTGAATTATCTAATACGAAAAATGCAAGATGTAAGCGTTCGTATTTGGACAAAATCCACGACATTCGCGAGATTCATTCGCGCGTTCAACATCGATGACGGCGAATCGATAGCGATAGAAGCTCCTTTGGCGCAAGTCGATTTCGCGCGGATCACCGGATTCCTTTCAGTAAACTCGTGCTACGCGCTACGCGACGTCTTTTTGAAGGCATTATGAATGCCTGGGGTCTTATCCGAGCGTGATAGGAACGAAAACGGTGCCGTGAGAGTGGCTCTTCCCGACTTGAGCCTCACGGATGGATGACTATGATTGATTGTTGCGCTGTCGTTACCGGTCACGAAGTTTCGGCAATGCCATCTCCTTCACGAAAAAGCCTTCGAAATTGCCTGTTCGTTGTCGTCATCTCATTGTGTATTTCTCTCTCTCTTTCTTTATCAAACTCACCCTTTGTAATCTTCAAAGGATGCTACGTTTTCACATCTTATAAGAACTTGTCGATACATGTATAAGACCGATCGTATCTTTTAAGTAGCTGCTTCTCACAAATCTGCTAGTTTTCGCCTCTCAATAGGAATGGACGTACATGGCATAACAACATCTCAAATCGTACGAATTAAGATAGAAATAAGTAACAAAATATCGTATTTTTAGAAAATCGTCTTTTTAAAACTTTTTCCGTATTTTTTATTTTATATAGATTAATTCTCAGTTTTTTATAAATATAAAATTGTCGATACACTAAAAATGATGTGTGCAAGACATATATATGTGTGTATGTGTATATATATATGTCATACGTTGCACAGTTACAATTGTGAATGAATTATTATTCTATATTAATGCAACATCTGTATCTACATTTTATTTTAGCTTATAATTTAAACAAATTAACAACAAGATTAATACACACACGTAAATATGTTAACAAAAGTAACAAAATCTTTGTCTTTCTCTCTTTGCATATTTTTTTTAATATTTATTGATTAAAACAAATATTGGAGATTAAGAAAGAAGTTAAATAGATAAAAACAAGATCAAAGATAAGAATAAAATCTATATTGATTAATTTGTGAAATACTTTGTATATATAAAATAAGATGATTATAGTTACCTTGAAAAGCCGTAAGATATTGGCGACCATGATGGAGACCACGCTGAAAGCGGCGCCTATTACGCCTGACACCGGCCTATGAGGAACGTAAGTTGGCGTCTTGCCGTTTTCGCATTTGTACTCTGATATATCCTGAAAGAATGAAAAAAAGTTGAAATATTTTACCCGTTCTGCAATAACAGTATTATATATACATATATATACATGTATATATATATTTTTTTTTTTTGAAAAATATTTATCAACTTTAATTTATTTTTATCAAACCCCATATTTTAAAATCTAGCCCGAAAACTTTGGACAGGATCAAAGTGCTATTTTTACAATAATACATTTGCGTTTCTGCCGCCCTTGGGCACTTTATTTATCTATTTTTGCCAAAACACACATTTTTAAATCTAGCTCAAAAACTTTGGACGGAACCAAAGTGCTATTTTTACAATAATACATTTGCGTTTCTGCCGCCCTTGGATACTTTATTTGCTAACCACGTCCACCCACGAGAAATTATCCCTAAAACCTCAATATCTAACATTTATGTTTTTTCGATTTTTAGAGTTGAATATATCGTGCGAGTAATATCGGAAAAAGATTCTATGGGATATATATGTATCTCTTTATATCGTAACGTTTGTGGAAAAATATGTTTTTAGAGAAAATTAAAAGATTAATATTTCTTTCTGCGTGCAGAAGAAAAAGAGGGATAAAATAATCCCGTTAACTACTTTAAAATAGAAAATTATTTTATCATAAATGTCATGACATATCTTTGTCTACTTATCGTTAGTGGAGAGAACGCGTCGTTGAATTTCCATATCTTTTCTACTCTGTTTCTCCTTCATTCAAATGAAGATTTACGAGTATAATTGTCATGACGAATAAAATTTGGCGGCAAAGTTACTGTTTCGTTGTGTATGACTCGATCACGTTCGGTAAATTCTTCCTATAGTATAGACTATAGACTATAACGTTTTGCGGATTCACAATTAAGGAATCCTGTGCAATTTCAATTTGGTATCGAAGCGCATTTGCGTCGGACAATTGTGCGATCCCATTTCCACCACCGAAATAGTCTATACAGAAACAATTACGAAGATCATCCGCTAATAAAATTAAGCCCTTACACCTGGCTTTTATGATATGAAGTAATGACAATATGATTCGCATTGAGCGATAAAGCAATGACACAAAAAAAATCAATTAAAATACATTAATTGCTAAATCGCCATCTCGACAATATTGACATTTTGTAATTTCACATATTCCCTTAGCTCATATTAATTTTTTTATTGTACATAATCAGGAATAACAATATGAGATACATAATTTCATATATTAATAATAATATATTTGTTTTTCTTAATATTTAGAAATATAATAATTAATTAAATATATTTAATTGAGAAAAAGAGAAAAAGAAGATTTATTCAAAACTATTGTAAATATTTTTAAACGTTCATAAAATAAATACAAGCAATTTGTAATGCCTGTAAATTTATGCAAAATTATATATTTCTCATATTTATTGCATAAATATGTGCACACAATTATCATTAATAAGTTCAAATGTGAATATTCAACGCAGATCGAACAAGAAACTCGTACTGCATTCTGACTCTATATGTGATAACGAAGTGCAACACGAGTTTAACAGAACCAAACTGTCGTTATTTAACACGTAGTTTGCACTGCGCGTTATAATAACTAGCATTCGTCCAGTAACGTTTTCGGAACCAATTAGATTCTGCTGAATGTAGCTTTTGTATGGACGAACACGGTTGGACTCGATGTACTCAACGTCGACAAACAACTCCGTCCTCTTTACAGCGGCGGATGTGTTTCGTCTCAATCTTATTATTAATCCCTTAAATATCTGGCCATTTAGCGCAAATCGCGGTAAATATATTATGTTATTGGGAAAGTATTTTTGCAAATCTGCAATCCAAGAATTTTGCCACACGAAAAAGATGAGGAATTATTTTGATAAATTTTAATAAACTTGTATTATAATAGAAGCCAAAATTTTTTTTTATTTTTACTCTTTTATTGATCCAGATATTACAAGTAGTTCAAATTTTTGAATCTGTCTCCCCATTTTACTAGCTGGACTTTCCAAATTTCTCCCAATATTCGGTGAATGTTTTATCAGCGACATTGTACACGCAATCAATCGCACACCGAAACTAGTTTTCGAGAACGAAATTCACACACACGTGGCAATTAAATTTGATTGATTTTCGAGTTTTTATGTCCGAACAATTTATATTTACAATTGAATTTCGCAAATTTTATTCGTAAATTTGGTAAGGTTTGTCGTCACGAGATACGATTTTATCGTATATTTCAACGCACTTGTGGAAACGCATATTCGCGGAGACTCGGAGCTTTTGGCGAGAAACTTGAGGATACTATTCCCCGGCAAGCTCAAGTGATTTAAATATAGTGAAGCAAACGGGTGCACGCATTCTGTATTTCTATGAGGATGTTCTTCGCACGGCTGCATAAATCCCGAATGCATCGCGTTGCCACTTCAGGTTATTTAAATATCGCATGTGTCTCCAGCGAACTCATGACATATTAATGTAGTTTTTTTCCAAAGATAGCTTGCCCTGTGTACGTACATGTGTGTATTACCGTAACGGGAACGTTAAGTAGCGTAAAATGTGTCGCCATGAGAAGAAAAAGAGACAGCGCATTTATGAATGTATTACGTCCACGTTAATCCATAAATAATCCATTTTGCGTTATGAATAAATGCATATTTTATCCACGCGCATTTGATCAATTATTTATGTAATAATACAATGGTAACATTATTAAAAAATTATTTCGTCGATCAATAAATCTTGCTTATATCACAGCAGAAAGCTATAATGCGCAAAATAGCGTAAGTTGTAATATTCAATATTGGTTGTATTATTATTATATTATCTAAAATAATATGCGCATACTGTAACAAGCTGAATCATGTGCAATGCAGTATTAATATTTGTTGAATAAATTGACAGATCAAAATTCACGAATACATTTTGTTTTCATTAAAAATGTTATAATTATTTCTCGCTAGATTATTAATTCACATGTATGACCTACAGTCAAATGCATATATAATGATATGGAAATGTAAATATAGAGAGAAGCAAGAGAGAATAAGAGAGATCTATTAAAATATAATTTATACTTGCCCTGAAAGAAACACAAATTAAAGCTTGAAGATTAAAATTTTTAATTATTTATATAAAATATTTTATAACTACCAATATAAACATTTAATAAAATTTTTATATTTCTCTCGTCGAGATCATAAAGTACCTATCAAATTTCTCAAGTATATAATTTACGACTAATTATTATCCATTATCTATATTTGTGAATGTATGTGTTATTTGGATATCAGATATGTTTGACATGATGAACGATCTGTAAGATACAGAAAGCTATCAGTCAGCGGAATGTGATGGCTCTTGAATCATGGCATCGTTCCAAAGTGTTCAGCATCCTGAATGAGTTTTGAAGGAGGCTAAAGAAGCTAGAAAAGGAGATTCGTATCTTTGGATCCATAGATCTTCGTTCAAGAGAGCGCGTTCTTCTAGCGAGATAACCGTTCTCGCTTGAACGTGAGAAATAAATCCTAACATCGGATTTGAACATGCATTATTCACGTCAAGAAAGATGCATCCGGTCCAAAGTGGAAAATAGAAAGAGATGAATTTGTTTCATCGATGGCAATAAATTAAACGTATTCGCAATACCGACACATATTTCCAATAGATCCTAGTTAAAAGATTTTTACATTCAAAATGTGTCTTGAAACAAAGAAATTAATTATATATTTAAAGATTTCCGTAAAGAAAAATTAAATAATATTTGGTTGTACAAATAATTTGTAGAGACATTTATACAGACATTTTAATGAACATTATTAAGAAATGTGTAGCAATTTCGCGAAATTTTAAAGTTTTAGTTTTTAGAATTAAAGTACTTATATATTGTTTCTATAAATGTGTATAAATTTAACTATAGGTTTCATACGAGTACAATTTTTGAATACATAAAATATATACATATATATAGGCTAAATTAGAAACAGAAGGAGGAAGAGTCCAACTTTTAATCCAATGATAAATTACTTTTCATCCAAAGAGTAATTTATTTCTAAGGATTATAATATGTATGTATAATAAGAAAAATAAATCAATTTAAAGGTGCTTGTAGAACGGTAATTGTGACAATACAGGATCAATGAATATTGCGCACGCAAAAGTGTGCTTTTATAAAAATCTATGATTCCCGCTGGTACCCCATGATTTACGATTTTCACGTGATAACTGTTCCCAGGAGCACAGTTGTAGCATTGAATGGGAAGCAAAGGCAATTGCTTGTCAGGAAACGCGGGAAATAAATGGCTTCGAGCAAGTGTCGCATGGCGCGAAATCAAAAGATGGGACTTTTGGCAATTGCGCGGACACGAAGGTGATTCTTCAAGACCGTGCAATATGTCGCTCGGACAAGATAACACGATCCAATTTCGCGGTCTACGCGGATAGCTATTGCATCCGGCGACTTTCTCTCTATTATTTGCATAATTAAAACTTGTAATATGATAGAGTATAATTAAACATGATAAAGGATGATATTTACGCATCCCAATTAATGTAAAGAGAGCTTGTATTGTATCTGCAAAGGTTCAGGTTTATTTCAACATTTTACAATCTTTTAAAATATTTAATATATTGGTTTAATCTCAAAACGTTTATATATTCACAAAAATTTAAATAATATTTAATAATACTAATTAAAATTTTTTTTTCCTTTTTCTTTTTCTCTCTCCCTTTCTTTCCAAGTAATTTATCAAGCTTAATATTTTATTAGATATATTAAGCTACAGTAAGATTTTAATTTAAAGATTGGAAATAAAAAGCGTCCTTTGTGTTTAAACTCTCATTCGTGCTACACGAATATATTTATTTACATGCACTACATGTTAAACAAAAATAAAAAATTCCAATTTTATATTAAATTTTAAATAATGGAAATAAATACTACTGAAGTACGATCTGTATCCAATTCTATGCAATATAGTAAAATGTCAATCTCAATTTCTTTCCGGTATGCAGAATTTATGCCGCACT